CAAAAAAAAAAAGGAAACTCACTGGCAGCCACGACAGCTGAGCCAGGCTCTGTGCGAGATGCTCAAGACACCTTGCGCCAGGGAGCAGCCTGGCTTCCAAATTCTGCACCAACTGAAGCTTCTGAACCGTCTTCAGAGGCAGCCCTGCATATAACACGTTGCCGTAATCCATGGGTAGACAAACTAAGGCCCGGGGGCCGGATCCGGCCCAGTCGCCTTCTAAATCTGGCCCGCGGATGGTCTGGGAATCAGCATGTTTTTACATGAGTAGAATGTGTCCTTTTATTGAAAATGCATCTCTGGGTTATTTGTGGGGCATAGGAATACATTCGTATTTTTTCCCCAAAATATAGTCTGGCCCCCCACAAGGTCTGAGGGACAGTGGACTGGCCCATGACTGAAAAAGATTGCTGGTCCCTGTAACCTAGAGGCTACCGGAGCATAGACCACAGAAATTAAGCCATCCCTGTCCAGATAGGGACACCGCTAGACCACCACTCAAAGCCTGCCCCACCCTGCTCTCCCAGAACCACCTTTTCCAGACCCTTGCCTTTCTGCGCAGGTGTACGCATTTTGGGTACAGAATCGTAGCACTGGGAGGGACCCCATCTGAGATCTGGCTTGCCTTGCCACTGTCATCTATGTGCTAGGAGATGAGAGGCTGGACAACTGCAAAGGGCTGTGTTTAGGGCTGCCCCCCAAGGCTGACCTGGAAGCTGCCGCTGGGACAAAATGTGCCAACTCAAGCCCAAAAATGGAAAACGAGAGAGGTCCCAACTAAAGAAGAAGAATGACAACTGATGGAATATGCCCAGCTTGCAGATTTAACATATAGAATAAGAGAACAAGAAGAAGATAAGTTTAAAGAAGATTGGAAAATGTTTGTTGAATATATGGGAGGAAATTGTGTACACTTGAAAACGGTGGCAGCATTGAGATAAATTCAGCAGTGTAAACAAGTTTTGATGGATGGAATAATGGAATACTGAACGGTTTGGCTTATGTAAAATATGCAGGAATTTATGGTATGCAAAATGAACCATGGAAAGAGAAGAAGGGAAGTCACTGATATTGTTAGGATGTTTAAACAGGTATTTAAAATTGTAAAACAGAAAACTAATAACAATTATATATATATACAGTATGTGTGTGCCTGTGTCTGTTTGTGTCTGTGTGTGTACGCACACACACGCCAACTCAATTGCTCACGGAGGAATCCTGTGACTCCACTGCTGAAAGAATCCCGCTGGCTGCCAATAAGCTGCAGGGCTGAATTCCAGGTGGGTCCTGCGCCACAGAGCTCTCTGTAGCCTGGGACCAGGATAACTAAGAGGTGGCCTCCCCCGTTATAAGCCCAGGCAATCACTGGGGTAAATGTGGGGCAGGGCGTGAGAACAGCAGCATAAATTTGCTCTCCAGGTTTTTTTCTGACTTTGGGGAGGGGAGGCTAAATAAACGAATGGTCCACTATTCCTGCCTCCATCTTGCAATGGGGAGAGGCAAAGGGAGCATTCAGCTTTGCTGCAGAAGGAAGCTGAGACAGGGAGTTGCTTACGACAACCTTGCAGTGCAGTCCAGTGTTCTCATCTTCACCCTGCAGGTTCTGCTGGGAGGGTGGGTTGAGAACAAGTAACTTGCAGCAACCTCGCAAGGCAGTCCACGGCCATCGTACGGAGTTACGACAGCTCTATTCAAAGATTGCAACATCTCAGACGATGGTTCCGTAGTCTGACAGAGAGTGGCTTTCAAAAGATCCCCAATTATAAGGATTGCCGCCTACACAATCCTTAATGATGATCCGCAGCTCAGAGTGACAGGTGCCCTCTTTGCTCCCGTATTGCATTATCAATGTATGTTATCAGGATGCAGACAATAGAAACGTTATATAACAGCCATTATGCATGGCTATTACAAGTGAATGCTTTGCATGAGATTTTCAGCTGACATCATCGCAATCATGCAGAAAAAAGACAGAACAGCAGAAGAGGTGAGAAGGCAGAACAACTCCTGATGCATCAAAAATAAATCTGCAGGGAACTGGGGGAGAGGATGGAGCCCTGAGGCACCCCTGACAGTGGGGTCCAAACTTTTTTCAAAGAGGGCCAGATTTGATGAAGTGAAGGGCTGTAAGGGCCAACCAAAGGGTCAACCAAAGTTGTTGACTTTTTTTAGGATTGAACTTGGGCTTTTTTATTATTTTACCCCAGAGTTGTTGTTGAGCTTTTTTTAGGATTCAAGTTTAGGATTTGTGGGTTAAACCACAGAGCCTAGGACTTGCTGATCAGAAGGTGAGCTCCCGTTGCTCGGTCCCTGCTCCTGCCCACCTAGCAGTTCGAAAGCACGTCAAAGTGCAAGTAGATAAATAGGTACTGCTCCGGCGGGAAGGTAAACGGCGTTTCCGTGCACTGCTCTGGTTCTCCAGAAGCGGCTTAGTCATGCTGGCCACATGCCCCGGAAGCTGTACGCCGGCTCCCTCGGCCAGTAAAGCGAGATGAGCGCCGCAACCCCAGAGTCGGTCACGACTGGACCTAATGGTCAGGGGTCCCTTTACCTTTACCCCAGGAAATAAATTGCCACGGGGACCAGATTAAATGGACCAGTGGGTGGGATTGGACTTTGGATATGCCTGCAAGGGAATGCCTAGAGCCAGGTGCCTAGCCTAGTCTGGCGGCAGACCAGGCGAACCTCCTGCCATCTGGGCTGTGGCATGGCCAAGGCTGGTGTGGGAAGAGCAGGAGCCACTGCGGCATCCACCACAGCCGTTGCAGTTGGCGGCGGGGGGAGTGGCAGCAGCAATGGAGCCCTGCAGCTGGGCTCCCCAAGCCAGGGAGGGCTGGCCACTTGCAGACCTGCCCAAGCTGCAGCCGCTTCTCCCAAGCACCTGTGATAAGAATTTTAAGGTCTTAGATATATATTAAATGTTCACAAATGTACCAACCAAGCATGTACATAGATCAGCACAGGAAGACTGACCTGAAACCATTTTTGATTCCCAAAGTGACCAAAGTGACCAAATGTTTTCTCTGCATGGTCAAGGAAAATGGAAAAGCCTCCCCATTGTCTTTTCCTTCACAAATCCTGTCTTAAGGGTATGTCTGTGTATGAATAGGGTGAGTTTATGACCTGGCTCAGGAACTAAGTATTTGTCATTACAAAAGACTGGCCAGGCTCCCCAGGGTATCCAATCAAGTGACCATTAACAGGTGACCTGCCAGAAAGGAGGTAAACAACGACAGGAGATAACACACTCAGATTTCTGCTGTAGACCATCCTTTCTGTGATGTAGGTATGATGTGTCTGGGGGTGGTCTTGGACTCCAGGGCGGGCAATTTAAAATGTCTATATAAGGGCGGACACACCTTGGTTCTGGGTCCTCCTCCTTTCTTTTGTGTGAGTGAGGATCCTGTTGCAACAGATCAATAAAGATCAGGCTTACTAGCTGCTTTGCTTCTCAATATTCTCTGGTTGGCCTCTGTTATACTGTTGCAACAGGGTTCCCCATTCCCCCCCCCCCACGCAGGGAGGAAGGAGAGGAACCCAGAACATTGGTGCATAAGCCCTTATATAGACTTTTGAAATTGCCTACCCTGTAGCTCAAGACCACTCCCAGAAACATCATACATACATCACAGAAAGAGGTGGTCCCCAGCAGAAATTTGAGTGTGTTGTTTCTCTCCTGTCTGCCAGGAGACCTGATAATGCTTTATTAATTGCCTTTTCTGGGTAGCCTGGCCATTCCTTGGAGATGGTAAATACTTGGTTCCTGAATCTCTTATGCATATTGAGTGTGCTCAGCTTAACAGACACTCGCCAGACTGTATTTGAAAAGGGAGGTGTAAGCCCTACAGTCCAAAGACAATTGGAAAGCTTTCCCCATTTCCTTCCTCCTTGCAGAGAAATATTTGAGGTCAATTTGGGAGAGTCAAAATGGCTTCAGGATTGTTCTCCTGTACTATATCAGACACGTGGTCTGTATACTTGTGTATGTGTTTGCCTTGTACATTTATGAACATTTATTTTATATATATAAGACCTTAGAATTCCTATAACACGCCCCACAGAGCCAGAATTGGGGTCACGGGAGCCATGGCATACAGGATTCCAAAAGAAGGATGCTGAAGACATCAGAGTGATCTCTTCTAATGCTTTATTGAAGAAAGGTATAGACTTCTAGCAAGCCGGCCTGCCAGTTCTTTACAGACCTGGGATGGCCTCCGCAGCAAGGAGACGGCTTATCTGCGCCCGTGCAAACTTGCAAACATTCTTCACAGAACAGAGCAACATTCGTCCGCCACCCTTGCACATGGCAAATACCCAAACAACACGCAGCTTGCAGACTTAACATATACTGTAGAATAAGAGAACATGAAGAACATACGTTTAGAGAAGATTGGAAAATGTTTATTGAATACATGGGTGGAAATTGTGTGCACTTGAAAATGGCGGCAGCATTAAGATAAATTCAACAGTGTAAATAAGTCTTGGTGGATGTAATAAGGGAATACTGAATGCTTTAGTTTTTGTAAAATATGCAGGGATTTAGGATACGCAAAATGAACCATGGAAAGAGGGGAAGGAAAGTTATTGATATTTCAAGGATGTTTAAATGAGTATTTAAACTCATTTAAATGAGTATTAAACAGAAAATTATAGAGAGAGGGAAAGTATCTTGCAGAGACTTTCCCTCTCTGGGCTCTGGGCCCAGTATCTCAAGCCCCTAGATAAGGGCACCATCAATTAGCTTATATCAAAGCAAGCGAATATAAACATAATTAATTGTGGGGGCCCTTCCAACCCCCACGGAGCTTTGCTTCTATGCTTCATTGGCGGTTTTTAAGCAGAGGTTGGATGACCAGCAGTCAGGGTTTCTTGGGCGGTATTTCCTGCCTTGCAGGGGGTTGGACTAAGGGCCCCTGGAGGCCCCTTCCAGCTGTACACTTCCATGATTATATTATGCCAAACAGGTGTTTTTTAAAAGGTATGTGTAGTTTTACTGAATCTCAAAACTCATTTGGCTGGAACTTTGAAGGGCCCAAATCCTCTTCGTCCAGCTCATCATCATCTGAACAGGAAGACAGTTGAGGCCTTCGGGAAGGTGGATTAGGTCAACCTTTGCAGCACCAAAGCAAGGGAGCTGGTATTTGCCATGCAAACAGGTGTCGTTCTAAGAACAGCTGGAATGTTTGCTTCTGAGTTTTGCAAAAGGCCTGCCAGTGCTGCCCTCTGGTGGCCATGTGCTGCACAACAGGCCAGCAAGGCTTGCTGGTTCATAAAACCCACACGGGGAGCCCCTGAGTCCTGCACCCCCAGCGGGTGGGAGGGTGTCCCTTTGGATTTCAAGAGGCAGCTCTGTGGGACCTCCAGCATGAAGCAAGGTTCAGAGCAAACACGGGAACACTTCCCCCCCAGGATTGTAGAATTGTAGAGTTGGAGGGGACCCCAAAGGTCCACTAATCCACCCCCTTGCAACACAGGCACCACGGCTGAAGTTCTCCAGCACAATCCCTGCTGAGATGAATGTGAGCAGAGAGTTTCCCAAGGGATGAGGCTGTGGGCCTTTTCTGTTGAGCAGAGAAACTGAAGAATCTCTACTGCCTACAGGCCAGGATCAGAGCTCCAGTACTTTGGCCACCTCATGAGAAGAGAAGACTCCCTGGAAAAGACCCTGATGTTGGGAAAGATGGAGGGCACAAGGAGAAGGGGACGACAGAGGAGAGATGGTTGGACAGTGTTCTCGAAGCTACCAGCATGAGTTTGACCAAACTGCGGGAGGCAGTGGAAGACAGGAGGGCCTGGCCTGCTCTGGTCCATGGGGTCACGAAGAGTCGGACATGACTAAACGACTAAACAACAACCAGTTGCAGAGGGAGCAGCACTAGAAGGGGACCCCTGCCAGGCTGGCCGGCTGCGGGGTTTCCCATGAGGGCATCAGGGGGGTCCAATCTATGGGAACAAGAGGCTGGGCTAGCTAGGCCTTGTGTCTGCTCCTCTTAGCTATCTGTCTATCTATCTATCTATCTATCTATCTATCTATCTATCTATCTCTCTATCTATCCCAGGGGTCTGCAACCCGCGGCTCCGGAGCCGCATGTGGCTCTTTTACACCTTTGCCGCTGCTCCGGGGCAGATACTAGCGAGGGGAGGAGGCGCATTGTGCGCCCCGACACTCCCCACTGTGGCGAGCGCTATACTGGCTGTGACGTCGCATGGGGCGGTGCGTGCATTAGTCACACACCGTCCCGACGTCACCTTCCCGCCCGCCCGCTACATTGTAAGGGGCATGTACGCTGGTCACTGCATTGAAAGGGGGCATGTACGCTGGTCACTGTTTTGAAGGGGAGTGAAGAACACACACACAAAAAAAGGTAACCTGTTAATTTAATGTTTATTTCTATGAGGAGGAGTAATTCTGAGGGGTCAAACAAAGAAATAATAAAAAAGTGACAAAAAAGTTATTTTTATAATGACGAGTTTTCCGGCTCCCAGTTTTTTTTTCTTCAGAAATGGGTCCAAGCGGCTCTTTTCGTCTTAAAGGTTGCAGACCCCTGATCTATCCTCTTCCAGAGAAGCCAAGGTCTGTGATGCAGCAAGAAAGATGCCCCAGCATGTGACCCAGGGACAAAGCAAGTTCCCTCTCTGCAGTTTGTGACGTGGCGAGAACTCTGCCCATGCACTACTTTGATGAGCTTTATCTTTCCCTGTCTCACACGCTGGGGCAAGGCGCTCTGCCTGCGCTGCCAGGGACCCCAAGGATGTAGGCCGGGGTCAATCGCCATCACCACCATCGTCATCATCGTCATCGTCATCATCATCGTCATCATCATCATCATCATCGTCATCGTCATCGTCATCGTCATCATCATCGTCATCGTCGTCATCGTCTTCATCGTCATCGTCGTCATCGTCTTCATCGTCATCGTCATCATCATCACGGTCATCCAGTTCCTCGAGGGGGGGTGGCCTTGCAAGCTTTGCTGGTGTTTCCCCACTGGGGAGTCTGCCCAGTTCAACACCAGCCCCTGCCCCTTCTCCGTTTCCTGGCTGCCCCCCAGAGGCAGCCGGCCCATCATTGGCGACATGTCCCGCTTCGGACGGTGGCTTCCCTGTGACTTCTCCACTCGCTGACTTTTCATCAGAGACGGGTTTCATCAGGGCAGCACCTTGCAGCTCCTCAGCCACAGGGCTATTCTGGGCCAGCTCCGCATCCTTTCTCACCTTGGCATTCTTCCCGGAGGCTTCTTTGCACTCAGGTGTGGCTTCCGTCTGGGCGCAGCGAGGGGCAGGAGATGCCCTTCCTGGTGTCTCTGAAGACAGAAAATATGAAGGGCATGCAGTTAGTTAACCTCCTCTCAGCTCCCACAGCGGCTGTTCCCAGTCCCCTGATGAAATATACTCGGAGTCGAGAGTGGATTTCATGCTCTTCATTCAGCTCATAGTGGTGAGGAGGAATGGAAGTTCCCCCAGAATGTCTGCTTTATATACATTATTTACACAATGGGCCCCATGGGATTGGCTAATTCCGGGATTCTCCTGTGGGCCAATCAGGTTGCGGATTCACTTCCACCTGGAGCTGGTTTGGGTGGCTCCTGTGGACCAATCAGACTGCTGCATTTTGGATCCTATTCAACTCAGTACATAACACCTGACATCCCCATAATGTGCGCATGTGTCAGGGAAGTTTGGGCATGGGAAATGCAAGGTGCCCTCGTTCTTGGAAGGGGCTGAGTTGTTGCCCAGGTGCAAATACATCTTTCACAGACAAAGGCCTCTTGACTCAGAAGAGCCAAGTAGAGATGGGTAAAACATGAGCAGCCAAGATGCCCCATTTTGCACTAGCTGGAGTTTGTGCACCAATTTCAGGGGCAGCCCCACATTGACCAAATTATTATTATTATTGTTATTATTATTATTTATTACATACCCCACCCATCTGACTGGGTTGCCTCAGCCACTCTTGGCAGCTTCCAGCATACCAGAAACACAGTGAGACATCAAACATTACAAATTTCCCAATACAGGGCTGCCTTAAGATATCTTCAGAAAGTCATGTAGTTGTTTATTTCATGTAGTTGTTTATCTGATGGGAGGGTGTTCCACAGGGAGGTTGCCACCACCAAGAAGGCCCTCTGGTTCCCTGCAACTTCACTTCCCGCAGTGAGGGAACCACCAGAAGGCCCTTGGAGATGGACCTCAGTGTCTGGGTTGGATGATGGGGTTGAAGACACTCCTTCAATAATCCAACCTGGAGATTACCAGCACACAGACCATAGTGGTCAGGTTCTCCTGGTCCAGAAATGGCCAAAGCTGGGGAAAGGCACTCCTGGCCACTGAGGTCACCTGCGCCTCTAGAGATGGATTTGATGAAACATGGAGCCTGTTCTTCTAGGGGAATACAACCCCGTCCGAAGGAGGCAGCTGACTAACTGCACCCCCCCCCAGCACCTCCGTCTTGCCAGGATTCAGGGTCACTTTGTGGACCTTCATGCAGCCCACTGCTGAGTTCAGAGACCAGTCCTAAAACAAAGGAACCTAAGAAGAGCCTGCTGGATCAGGCCAGTGGCCCATCTCACCAGCATCCTCTTCTCACAGTGGCCAACCCACAAGCAGGATCCAAGCCTCAGAGCAGCTTCTTCCTCCTGCAGTTTCCAGCCACTGGAGAAGCATTGCTGTCTCCAGCTGCGAAGGCAGAGCAGATCCATCTTCCATAGCCCTCTCCTCCTCCCTGAATTTGTCCAGTCCTCTTCTAAAGCCACCTAGCTTGGTGCCCACCACTACTTCCTGTGGGAAGGAGTTCCACAGTCTGAGCCGTGTGAAGGAGGACTTCCTTCCATCTGTCCCGAATCTTCCAACCTTCAGCTTCACCTCTGATCTGATCTGCAGGACGTGCAGCAGTTTGGGCGAGGTGAGAGAGGCAACACCCTCCACCCTTCTGCCACAGGTGTGGCTCCCGTTTGTGACAACAATGTGTGTGAGGCGAGGGAGGTGTACAACTTTGGAGCTGTTGCTCCATGTGGGATGGGGCTGGTGCTCAGTGAGGAAGGGAGGCTGCAGAGGGGTTTGGTGCGGCCAGAGCCCCTTGACCACGCTGCAGAAAAGCTTTGCCCCAGAGTGGCTCATGTTGCACCAGAAACCAAGGTCCAGGCAGGTAAGCATGAAGCTTCTTCCTTCTCTGTATCTTGGCCCCGGGCATCGTTGGGCATGAAGCAATCCCAGGAGCTGTGGCAGCAATTAGCTCCCCAGCCATCTCTGTTTAGCTTGGATGGGCTCCAGCCACTGCATTCCTCCTCCTGTCTAGCCACAGAGAGTAACAGAATCTCTCCCCCTGGGTAAAACTCTGCCAGGTTCTGCTCACTGATGGGAAGCAACAGGGCGAGAGAGAGCCAGACAGGGGCATCAAGGTCTCTCCCTAGCCAAGTGCAGAATCGTAGAGTTGGATGGGTCCTGAAGGTCCCCTACTTCTACTCCCAGCAATGCAGGAATCCTAGCTAAAAAATAATAGAATCCTAGAGCTGGAAGGGACCCCAAGGATCATCTAGTCCAGCCCCTTGTGGTGCAGAATTTCAGCTAAAGAATCCCTGACAGAAGGCCACCCAACCTCTCTTTGGAAACCTCCAATGGAAGGAGAGTCGACAACCTCCCAAAGAAGTCTCTTCCACTGTCAAATGTTTAGTCGGAATCTCCTTCAGATATTTGAAAACGGGTCTCATATCACCTCTCAGTCTTTTATTCTCCAACTCCCTCCACTGTTCCTCTTATTGCATCTCACACGTTCACCTGCTTGTATTGATTTGTACTAGAGCAGCCTTTCTCGACCTGTGGGTCCCCAGATGTTGCTGGACTACAACTCCCATCACCCCTAGCTAGCAAGGCCAGAGCTCAGGGATGGTGGGAGTTGTAGTCCAACAACATCTGGGGACACACAGGTTGAGAACTGCTGTACTAGAGGGTTCCACTCCCCTCCCCCAATCATGCACCTCTGCACAAAATCTCTGGCTTGCATCCCGGGTGGCCATCTAGCCCAAGTCCATTTGCTCTGTAGTTCTTTGCAGCTTGTGGCCCCTGGAGAATGTGCCAGCTCCGGCCCACCTCAGCCCCTGGATCCCCTTTGCTCCTCTCTCCTCAGCCTCCATGCAACAACCAGGCTCCCATTTTCCTCTGTGAAGCCAGTTCTGCCCTCAGAGCCACAGGGAGGGGATGCTCAGCAGCCGCCCAATTCAGCTTCTCATTTCTCAGTCTTGACTTTGGCTCCCTCTCACACACACACATTTCTGCATCAGTCTGCAAATTTTGTTTCAGAAATTCTGCACAAAACTGAATGTCCGTATTTCAAGCACATTTCTCGTAAGATACAGATTTTTCTGCAAGCAATTTCCCCTAACATAATGCCCTTTGTACATTCATGTTCAGAGGACTGGACTAGACAATCTTCTGAGCGCCTTCCAACTCGACACTTCTATGATTCTATGAATTGTTGGGTTGGGGTACTGCATCACCGAATTCAGAGATGTGTGACTTTTGGAGGACAGGGGCCTTTCAGTTCACAGAATGGTTTCGGGAAATGTGAACTATGCAATCCTGTGGATTCACTTTCCTGCTGCAGAAGCTGAGCAGCTCATTCTGAGCCCTGCAGTTCCCTCCGGCTACTCTTCCTTCCAATCCCAAAATTCCCACCCACCCACTGCCCAATTCCAAATTTGAAACCTGCCTTTGACATGCAAGTCCCAGAACTGCATGTCTACTCTTCCTCATTGCAAAACCATTTCCTGATTTCCTCCACCAGGGGGAAAAACCCCACATGCTTTCCTTGTCTGGATGGTCCCAGCCGCTGAGGCCCCTGGCTTTGCATCCCAACAACTGCCTCTTCTTACCTGTGTGTGGTGCAGCCAGCAGGGCAGTCCAGAGGACCAAGGACCCCACAAGGAGCAAGAGGCCACCCGACTTCATGGTGGCGCTGAGATCCAGCTCCTTTGGACCAGGACTGAACTGTCCTAGTTTATATACCCTCTCTGGGTGGAGCCGGAAATACTTTGCATGGTGACTTATGAGAACATCTCGTTGACAGCCAAATTCCATTTCCTAATATGCCACCGTGCCAACTACAGGGAACCTGCGTTTTACCTGTAACACAATCACATCTATCAATCTTTTGACCTTGATTGCAAGGTTGCAACATTTCTATTTGCAGAGAGGTTGGAATTCTTTGTGGATAAATTCGTAAGGCAAAGCCAGGTTTCTAAGAGATTACCAACACAAGTTGGATAGCTGAAAAGTACTCAGTATGACATATTTGGCACAGTATGAAGGAATTGGGGCCTTCCTGCCTTCAGTTGGTGGTGAGAAGTCTTTTGACAGGATAGGGTGGCCACTTACAAAGAAAGCTTCAAAAGGCTTGCTGTCTGAGACCAATTATTTTAACCCGGCTACATATAAGATCTTTAGTAAATGGACAGCTATCAAGACAGGTAGTTTTTAAACGAGGAGCAAAACAAGGATGTTCTCTTTCTCCAGGAGAATACTCTTTCAGGTTTATTGGATTTTATTGGGCTAGCCAAAGGCCGTGGCAACATCCAAAGAAGGAAAAGAAAAGAACAGAACAGAAAAGAAGACACACACACCCCCGTTGCTACATATGCAGTAAAGCCATGGTCAAATCCACCAAAATTTCTTATTACACAGAATAAAAAGTAATTCTCAAATAAAATGTGCAAATTAGATCTCGGAGTTCCCTTTGCAACTGACGCTAGCCCACCCTGTTCTTTCTTCCTAGCTGCCAAAACACAGAGAGCCATGTTATAAGTCACAGAGTCATCAGTAACAGCAGCCATGTCACCTTCTCCGCCCTGGTTAGACTTCTTGGGTCTGTATATAGTAGACATTGTAGTAGGTAAGAGTACTCTTAAATAGGTATCTGAAGATGTTTGCTATTGCAGTAAGGTTGGACCTACCGTGATGCTATAGAAGTAAACAATGAACCAAGGATACAAAATATAAGTTCCCCATTTATATTGAAGATGTTCTGTTTTCCTATTATTATTATTATTATTATTATTATTATTATTAGGATGCCATCTGACGAGGTTGTCCCAGCCACTATTGGCAGCTTCCAACAAATTAAAACAGGATATCATTAAACAGAAAGATTAAACAAAAGTTTAAGAGAATCTAGCAGGGTTAGGAGATATAAAATTAACAAAGGAAAACCAGAGCTGCTCAGTATTGATATAGACTAGAACAGTAAAGAAGAAAGTAAGATGAGTGAGGAAAGTCAAAAGTACAATAAGTATAGAAGTATCGGATAATTTTGATAATTTCTCTAAGTAATCTTTTATTGCTGCCTACATTTTAAAAAATATTGTGCCTGACCTTAATTTGTTTTATTCTTTCTTCATAGCCACTTTGAAAAGCCTTGGCTGTAAGATGGCCTGAAAAAGTTCAAATGAAATGAAATAATACAATGTCATCTGATCCAGTCTATTGTTATGGTTATTGGAAGTATACAGTGTCAGGGCCCTGCTTCGAGCACAGAATCAGAAGAGAAGGATGAAGTGGCTGAGCTCAAAGCTGAGAACCTGGGCAAACCCTCACCCTGAGTCCCATGAACAAGAGCCTTCCGAGCTTGTCTGAGTCTGCCTAAGTCTGCCAATCCACAGCCAGGACCCGCCACAAGCCCCCAGGTGTCAGAAAGGCCCTGTGGGATAAACTCTTCCCTCTTGTCCTTCCCAGCAGCCAGTATTCAGAAGCATAGCCAATAAATTTGTCTTTCCCTCTTTGCAAACCATCCAAACTGACGGCATCACCACACCTTGCGGAAGCAAATTCCATTACTTAACTACATGATGCGTCCCTTCGAAAACTTCCTCCTAACAACAAAGGGATGGAATCCGCAATATACAAAATACTACTCCAAAATCCCACAAACCCCCTAGACGTAATCAAAAAACAACGGGAAGACAACATAGGCTATGAGATTAACCCACTCAGTGGACTAGAATGTGATCTAAACCCCTCCTTTAAATCCATATCAACGAAAAGAAAAGAACTCACCTTGAAACTCACTCACACATCGTACCTAACACCAAGGAAATTAGCACTAATACGCCCAGGAACCTCACCAAAATGCCAGAGAGGGTGAACCTCCACAGGCACAAACTTCCACATGTGGTGGGAATGCCCCAAAATCCAACTATTTTGGACAACAGCCATACGAGAAATATGCAAACTAAGCAAGTATTAGAAATCACCTCAGAACTGGCCCTACTAAACACATTCCAAGACAATAATGCCCACTCACATCACAAAGAACTCCTCACCCACCTACTCTAAGCAGCCAGAAACTTCAAAAGTAGACACTGGAGAGACCTGTTTGGAGTAAGCATGGACCAATGGAGAAAAATTAACCAATAATCTGAAACTGACACGGGGACAAATAAAAGAAGACACCTTCACCCCGGTATGGCTCCCCTTTATCACATACACAGCCCAAAAAGACAACAACAAGAATCCGCCAACAGCATATAATAATAATAATAATAATAATTTTTATTTATAAAATTTATTTATTTATTTATTTATTTATAAAATAAATTTCTAAAATTTATTTATAAAAGCCTCCCCAGCCGAAGCCGGGCTCAGGGCGGCTAACAACAATAAAACAGTACAAAAGTACAGCACAAACAACACTCTAAAATCATTCATTATAAAATTAATTAATTAATTAATTAATTAATTAATTATGAATCAATCTGGCTAGCCTGATTTAAAAACACCCACTCACACACACAAAAAAAGTTCACCACAGCTAATCACAAACAGGCAACCACACCCATGGCCAACCCCAACTTCTCTCACCACCAAAGGAACACAAGCAAGTAGTAAAGAGAACGCACACAAGCGATGCTCACACAAAACCCACACATACATTAAGTAAAATAGAAACATCTCCCCCTCCATCTCTTCCCCCTTTTCTTCCTAATGTAACACTAATGTCTCAACAAATGAAACTGACCTGTAGAAAATGTAACCTGAAAAAAGAGACATTGCACATACTTTGGTAAACCAAGAAATCTTTAATAAAAAATACATTTTAAAAAGCAAACAAACCATGTGATGAATGGAAAATTTTTTCCCTTTTGTCTTCCCCAAATCTTTCAAAGCTCTGCTTCATGATTTGTCCACAAGTTATAGCGTCAGCAGAGAGAGAGAGAGAGAAAGAGAAACTTTTATCGGTCCGCTTTCCCCATGCTAGGCATCATTTTATAAACTTCTATCATGTAAAAAAGGGACGTGGGTGGCGCTGTGGGTTAAACCACAGAGCCTAGGGCTTGCCGACCAGAAGGTCGGTGGTTCGAATCCCCGTCACGGGTTGAGCTCCTGTTGCTCGGTCCCTGCTCCTGCCAACCTAGCAGTTCGAAAGCACGTCAAAGTGCAAGTAGATCAATAGGTACCGCTCCGGCGGGAAGGTAAACGGCGTTTCTGTTTCTGGCTCACCAGAAGCGGCTTAGTCCTGCTGGCCACATGACCCGGAAGCTGTACGCCGGCTCCCTCGGCCAGTAAAGCGAGATGAGAGCCGCAACCCCAGAGTCGGCCATGACTGGACCTAATGGTCAGGGGTCCCTTTACCTTTACCTTCTCATGTAAAAAACAACAGGAGTGGACGTTTTAAAGAAGAGGATTAATCTAGGGATGTATGTAGACCAGCAGGCAGCATGTTGTGCACGTAGAATGAAAGAAGAAAGAATAACAACATGAGAAGGATTTTTAAAACCTATGTGGATATGGCAAAGAAGAGTTCAAGGGATGAAATGGACTTGGAAGAATAAACTCCCTATTTGGGCATCTTGGAATATTATATGTAAAATAGAATTGCGGGCAGGATTAAATTTTGAGCAATGGTTGGGGGTGGATTTGTTGGCAGGTGAAAGAAGGACTAGGGCAAGAAACAGAAGGTGTCTTCTGGAAGCATAAACTGTGGGATCCATAGAGGAAATGCTGGGACTTCCTCTTCATGTGTAAATCAAGGCAGGTAGAGGAAGACTGTAGTTTTGTTGCTGTTGTTGTTGTTTAGTCGTTTAGTCGTGTCCGACTCTTCGTGACTCCCTGGACCAGAGCATGCCAGGCCCTCCTGTCTTCCACTGCCTCCCGCAGTTTGGTCAAACTCATGCTGGTAGCTTCGAGAACACTGTCCCACCATCTCGTCCTCTGTCGTCCCCTTCTCCTTGTGCCCTCCATCTTTCCCAACATCAGGGAGTCTTCTCTTCTCATGAGGTGGCCAAAGTCTTGGAGCCTCAGCTTCAGGATCTGTCCTTCCAGTGAGCACTCAGGGCTGATTTCCTTCAGAATGCAGAGGTTTGATCTTCTTGCAGTCCATGGGACTCTCAAGAGTCTCCTCCAGCACCAGAATTCAAAAGCATCCATTCTTCGGCGATCAGCCTTCTTTATGGTCCAGCTCTCACTTCCATACATCACTACTGGGAAAACCAGAGCTTTAACAGACTGTAGTTAGAAGGGATAATATTCTAGGGAGAAGAAAGCCACGCGGAGACTGGCCTGAGGTTCCACTGGAGCTTTAACCCAGTTCATTTACATGGCTAGTTTGGTCTCCCTGCCAGGGGTGATGCAGCTGCCGAATTCCTCCGCTGAGCAGAATGCTTGACTACAGCACCCCCCAGGTCCCTTCCTAATCTAAAATACTATGATTCTAACTTTACAGCATCTATATTTTATATATTTTTGCATGATGTGAGGAGATTTGTTTCAAGGCAGTCCTGAGAGACAAGGATTTGTTGGATGCCAACAGGAAGAGCCCAGATCAGGCAGTTCCCAGGGGCTTCACAACTAGAATCCACAGAATCATAGGCTTGGAAGAGTTGGAAGAGACCCCAAGAACCATCTGGTAGTCCAACCCACTGTGATGCAGGAACCACTGGATCCAGTTCCTCCTGGGA